CCGATGCCAGCCCGCCGAGCGCAGGGTAGCCGGGAGCTGCTAGCCAGACGCGAGTGACGACTGCACCGAAGGCTGCGACGCTCTGCAGCTTTGGGTCACGTGAGGGCCGCGCGTCACTGCCGAGCTCGCCCCCCAAGTTGGACGACCAGTGCAGTAGACGCTTTTCCGCCCGTCCCTCCGCACATGCACACGCACCCACCACCCCCGCGCGCCCGTTGCACAAGGTGCTTCAGCGACATGGCCCTGTCATTATTCTCGGTCTTCTCCAATCTGAAGGCCCACAAGTGGCATCACCGCTCTGCGGTTGGAGTTTACCCATCTCTGGTTACCAGGGACGGTCTGCGTCCTCCTCCACCACAGCCCCCTTCCATCCCAGGTCTTAGTTTTGGCCTTTTCTGCTTTCTCTCTTCTTCCTCCAGGCCCTATGCTTTCCCCTGCCCCCACCCCACCCCCACCTGTACATGCACAGTGCACAGCCACCAATACCCACTGTAGGCCCTGAAGTCATGCCCTTCTAGGAAATTTAGAATGAGGGCTGAGGTGGGGAAGCAGGAGGGGACTTGTCAGAAAAGGAGGCAAGGAAGTGAAGTAGGCTGTATATATTTCTTTTTATTTTCTTAAACAAATCAATATACAGAAAATTAGACAAGTTTTCATTTTTGAAAGAAATGCTTTATCTTGCAGAATGAAAAAGTCTTATTATTTATATTGACCTGTACCACACAGAAAATATTTTCTCTGGGCTCCACACATCAACATCACTTTTCAAACATACTAACTTGTTTAAAATTTTTATTTTATAAAAAGGGAGAGACTCTTTCTGAACAGTTGGTGTTGTTAACATAAAAAAAAAAAAAAAAAACCCACAACTAAGCCGGGCGCAGTGCCTCACGCCTATAATCCCAGCACTTTGAGAGGCCGAGGCGAGAGGATTGCCTGAGCCCGTGGGTTCAAGACCAACCTGGGCAACATGGTGAGACCTCATCTCTACAACAAATAAAAAAATTAGCTGGACATAGTGGTGCATGCCTATTGTTCCAGCTACTTGAAAGGCTAAGGCATAAGGATTTTACCTGAGCCCAGCAGATCGAGGCTGCGGTGGCTATGAGCATGCCACTGCACTCCAGCTTGGGCAACAGAGTGAGACTCTGACTCAAAAAAACCCCACAAAACTCACAACTTATACATTTAGAAAAGGAGAGAAGATTTTATTTCCTTTGAAAAAGTACAGGCCAGGCATAGTGGTTCATGCCTGTAATACCAGCAATTTGGCAGGCCGAGGTGGGAGGATTGCTTGAAGCCAGGAGCTTGAGACCAGCCTGGGCAAAAAAACGATACATTGTCTCTACAAAAAATCGAAAAATTAGCCAGGCATGGTGGTGTGCACTTGTAGCACCAGCTACTTAGGAGGCTGACGCAGGAGGATTGCTTGAACCTAGGAGATGTAGGCTGCAGTGAACTGTAATCATATCACTGTACTCCAGCCTGGGCAACACAGTGAAACCCTGTTTCAAAAAAGTTACATCCTGTAAGGTGGCCATCCTGCAGGCTGGGCAGCACAGCCTCCAGCAAAGACTAGAAACAGGCATTTCCAAGGAAGAGGGGTTTGGGGTAGGAGTTTTAGGTTGAAAGGGCTGGCTCAACATGAATATTCAACAAGTTACAGAAGAAACTTTATGAATGTTTATGAAAGTGGTACTAACGTGTATTGAACAAACATGTATATAACCTAAGGCCCATGTTTACTTTGGGGTGGAGACTTAACATTTACACCCATTACAAAATTATTTTTAGGACATATAGGTGTGCAAGTGTACAGTCTCTGTAAACTGGCCAGAACCAGTCCATTGTCAGTGGTTTTTTTTTTTGTTGTTGTTTGTTTGTTTTTTTACTGAAATCAGTCTGTTGTCTAATTAAAGCTGTGGTTATGGCTGGGGGAACAGGGATTTAGTTAGTGTCTGTGAACTGGATAATTGTAATTGTTTTCATATTGCTTATCTCAAGACCACTGTTTAGCTGTTAGAGAAAAAGAAAAACTTTGTGACAGTTAAAACACAGTTTATTCTTTAAATTTAGAGATACTGGCTTAACCCTTGTCTTGTTTATGTGTCTTACTGTGTCACAAAGAGTCTGTTCATCAGTCTTATGATTTCCATTTCCACATTAATGTTGGTCAGTTGTGTCTAAGCTCTTAAAAGGGAGGGAGTTATAATGTGTCTGACCTCCCATCCAGTCACTGCTGGGAATTAAGTTTTTAAGTTTTGGGAGATCCCTTTGGCTACAAAGGGATCTGTTAAGATAGTGGAAGGCTTAGGATTTTATTTTTGGTTGACAGTGTTTTCAAAATGATCTGTAAAGTAAATCTTCAGGGAGAAGTTCAGTTGTCATATCTGGGCCATTTTATGTAACTTTGTGAGATTGTTGATACTACAATCATCAGAGAAAAGGAACCTTTTTATTCCCTCCTTTCCTTGATGAACCTTCCAAACTACTCATACGAATGTCTTCTTAGAATGAGCTCAGGAGTTAAATACATAAAAATGCAGAAGTTAGTCCCAAAGCCAAAAATATTAGAGATAAGCAGGGGGTGTTTGAAACAACTTAACTTGAGACTGAAACTCATCCTGAGTGCAAATGTTCCTTTCTCTAACTTGAAATAAGTTTTTAAAAAATTATCATATTTAGGAAAGAGATGTCTTTAGGAAAGTGATATTGTTATTAAAAAATTTAGTAACTGTTGGTTATGATAAAGGTACTAAAAGCATTATATGCAGCACTGAGGCAAGACAGGCCCTATAAATGCTAACTACTTCTAGGTTTGCTTCCAGACTCCTGTATCATTTCCTACCCTGCTGTAATAGATGAAACCCTGAATAAAGGAAAAGTATATGCCAGTGCATAAATAATTTGAGGTTTTGGAGGTATGTATTACACATACAAATATATATGTGTATCTGTGTGTGTGTGTGTGTATATATATATATATATATATATATTAGAGATTAGAGATACAAAGATATATTAATATACAGCTCCAAAAATTCAAATTATAAAATCACCTCCAACATTTGCCCTTTAAAGAAATGCTAGTGATTACTGAATTCTATCTCACAGTTAACAACTCTTCATACAGATTGCTTCTATTAATGATATTGGCTAGAAGGATGCAGGTTCAAAGCATGAGCTATGGTGTTGTTACAGCCTTATCCAACAATCAGTTGCTTCCCTCGCTATCCATCAAATACGAGAGGCAGAAAGCTGGGAGAAGTAAGTAGTGTTATTCTGATACCATGGGATCAGGGAAAGGGCTGTTTATTCACCAAAAAAAACCTATTCATTTAAGCAGAGTTTCCATCCAGTATTTATAATAAAACATACAGTTTCTTATTTTTTCCCAACTATTGATTAATAATGACTACGTGTCTCATGACTATTACTCAGTTTCTTTCTTAATCAGTGTTTAGACCCCAAACGGTTACTGTCATAAACCGGTGCTCAGATTATATCAAGCCTACCATTCTTCTAAATTACAATTACCTTGAATAATTTGTGGCTGTGTATTTTCTAGTTGCTTACAGTGTTTTGCTTATTCTGGATGTTCTGGTTCACAGGTTTAATTAAGCATTATGCATAAGATTAATACAAAGACATGAAAGAAAGCAGTTGTCATTTAGAGACTAAGGAAACAGATACATTTCTAGGTTTTAGAAATTTTCAGCAGAGCCCATTTTTTTATCCAGGTCTGGCAGAGGGTTTTCCAGGGATGTGCAGTATTTTTAGCTATGTCTCCTGCTTTTCAATGAAGATGGTTGTATTCCCTCAGTACCAGCAACAGTTACTAGATTCAAGAGCAGTGAAGGGGGGACAAGGAAAAATGTACACTTTTAAATTTAAACCGCTTCTACGTTTAGTCCAACTCAGCTTAATACAAGTTTCTACGTCTTTTCAAAATGACTGTTTTAGTGTAACAAAAATGACCTCTTTTCAGCCTGTAATAGTATCAGACAAGTTTGGCATCAAGTCCAATCTGCTTGATGTGTGACTTTGGGTCAATTATTTATCAGTGTCTCTGCTTCCTCTGTGAAACAGGGATTATTAGGATAATTAAATTACACATATCAAGAACTTACTATAGAGCCTACTAAATTGTCATTTTTTTGGTTGACTATTTTCACCATTATGGGATGGTTTCTAACAATATTTGAAGAGTACCACAGTGATGGTTTCCTTAGCTAGATCCACTTGTTCTTAAAATTCATGCAGGCCCAAAACATATTTGCTTTGTTCTACTTTGCATGCCCAGTGACTTATAGTGTTCCTTGCACCGAGTAGGTGATTAGTGAATGTTTGTTGAATGAATGCATCCACTATTGAAGTTATTTGTTGTTTTTCATTTAGGGAACTGTAGTTAGAGCAACACAGAAAAGCTTTTATGAAAATCAAGAATTACCCTGAAAGTAGAGAAGCCACTGTGACATAGTCATTGAATATAAAGTTTAGCAAGTGGATTTTTTTTTCAGTAGCTAAATACTTTGCTGTTGTCCTTTTGACCCATCCTGGATAAGTCTTTTGTTTGAAACCACCAGATTTCCTTGGATGAAAACATACATGTGTC